TTTTGAGTCTCACTGTATTGCCCAGGCTGGTGTGCGGTGGCACTATGACGGTTCACTAAAGCCTCAAATCCCCAGCTTTAAGTGATCTACCTGCTTCAGCCTCCTGAGTAGCTGGACTACAGACTTGCACCACCAAGCTTACCTAAGTTTTTAAATTTTTCATAGAGGTTGTTGGGTGGAGGGGGTCTCTGTTGCCCAAGCTGGTCTCGAACTTTTGGCCTCAAGTAATGCACCTGCCCCAGCGCTGGGATTACAGGTGTAAGCCATTACACCCAGCTTCCCTGAGCCTTTATACAGGACTCACCTTTGACTTAGTTTCTATTTTATACTCTAGTTAGAGCATTATATTGATTTTTAAGATTACTATCATTCTGAATGAATAACAAATTGTGGTACTTTCATACAATGGAATAGAACACAGCAATAAAAAGTAATGAAGGGAGGTGGGGATGGTTAATGGGTACAAAAAAAAAGAATGAATAAGATCTGGTATTTGAGAGTACACTAGACCGGTTATAATCCATAATAATTTAATTGTATATTTAAAAATAACCCAATGGCCAGGCACAGTGGCTCACGCCTGTAATCCCAGCACTTCCGGAGGCTGAGGCAGGTGGATCACCTAAAGTCAGGAGTTCGAGACCAGTCTGACCAACATGGAGAAACTCCATCTCTACAGGCATTTTGTATTTTTACAAAATTAGCCGGGCATGCTGCCACATGCCTGTCATCTCAGCTACTCGGGAGGCTGAGGCAGAAGAAATACTTGAACCCAGGAGGTGTAGGTTGCAGTGGGCTGAGATCACACCACTGCACTCCAACCTGGGCAAGAAGAGGAAAACTCTGTCTCAAAAAAATAAATAAAATTAAAATAACTAAGAATGTATAATTGGACTGTTTGTAACACAAAGAAAAAATGCTTGAGGGGCGGGATACCCCATTTTCCATGATGTGATTGTTATGCTTTGCATTCCTGTATCCAAACATCTCAGGCATCCCAGAAATACATACACTTACCATGTACCCACAAAAACTGCAATTAAGAATTTAAAAAGTAATAAACGATTGGCACATAAAACAACTTGGATAAATCTCAAAATAATTGTGGTGAGTGAAAGAAGCCTGACAAAAAGTACACATTGTATGATTCGACTTTAGAAAGCACTATGATGACAGAAAACAGATCAGGGCCGGGCGTGGTGGCTCACGCCCGTCATCACGGAACTTTGGGTGGCCAAGGTGAGCAGATTACTTGAGGTCAGGAGTTCGAGACCAGCCTGGCCAACATGGTGAAACCCAGTCTCTACAAAAAATACATAAATTAGCCAGGCATGGTGGCAGGTGCCTGTAATCCCAGCTCCTCGGGGTTGAGGCACAAGAATCACTTTAATCCGGGAGGCGGAGGTTGCCGTGAGCCAAGATTGACCCCTGCACTACAGCCTGGGTGACAGAGCAAGACTCCATCAAGAAAAAGAAACAGAGAACGAGAGAAAGAGAGAGAGAGGGAGGGAGGGAGGGAGGGACAAAGCAAGCAAGCAGATCAGTAGTTGCTTGTGGGTGAGGGGGAAGTAGAAAGGGCGGGAAGCAGGATCACCAAGGGGCAACAAAGAAACTTTTTTGGAGGATGGATACCTTCCCTATCTTGATTGTGATAATGATTTCAGGTGCATACCAAGGGTCAGATATTATCAAATTGTAATCTCTATGCATTGTTTATTATATGTCAATACCTCAATAAATCTGCCTAAAATGTTTAAAAATTACTGTAAGTATACAAGATATATTTTATGAAAAGGAAGTTATGGGTGGAGCATGGTTGAGGACCCCAGCATCAGGTGGATTCAGAAGTAGGGGAAAGCATCTCCCATTTCTTCAGGCCAGCATGCTGTGCAATTTATCCAGTGGCCGCTAGAGGACAGCAGCGACTCAGGTACAGGAAGTGGGCGTTGCAGGGCTTCAATACTTAGAATTCCCCGCTCTGTGCTCCCTACCGTGGGAGGTGGGCGTTAGTACCCCCACAATACACAGTTAGAGCTGAGACCTGGGCCTTGGTCTCTGGCTCCTGATTCCACCTTGTTGGTCCCTCAACACTGGGAGCACAGGGAGGTCGCCCAGGCTGTAGTGCAGTGGCAAGATCTCGGCTCCCTGCAACCCCCACATCCCGGGTTCTAGCAGTTCTTCTGTCTCGGCCTCCAGAGTAGCTGGGATTACAGGCGCCCGCCACCACACCAGGCTGATTTGTGTATTTTTAGTAGAGATAGGGTTTCACCATGTTGGTCAGGCTGGTGTCAAACTCCTGACCTCAGGTGACCCACTAGCCTCAACCTCCCAAAGTGCTGCTCCCAGATCCAGTGAAGCAGCACCCATAGTTCCCTGTCTGTTACCCACCGGGCTGATATGGAGGGTTGCAGATGGCACCAAAGAGTTGTAGTTCTCAAGGTGACTTTGGAAGGCCTCCCACCTTGCCTGAAACCCATGATTATAAACAAGTCAAAGTTGCATTATCAGATGCTGCAAGTCATAGGTTAGCATGTCACTGAGAAAATGACTTACTGAAGGGTCATTTTTATAGGAGAAAGGGAAAGGAGAGAAGCTTCAATTGAGGGGTCAGGGACATGATGGTGGAGTGCCCAGTGGAGCGCCCCTGGGGCGCTGGGATGGACGCTTCCCAAAATAAGTAATCGTGGGCTGGGCACGGTGGCTCAGGCCTATAATCCAGCACTTTGGGAGGCCAAGGTGGGTGGATCACTTGAGCTCAGAAGTTCAAGACCAGCCTGACCAACATGGCACAACCCCATCTCTACTGAAAATACAAAAATTAGCCAGGCATGGTGATGCGCGCCTGTAACCCCACCTACTCGGGAGGCTGAGGCAGGAGAATGGCTGAAACCCGGGAGGCAGAGGCTGCAGTGAGCCAAGATTGTACCACTGCACTCCAACCTGGGTATCAGAGCAAGACTCTCTCAAAAAGAAAAAGCAAAAAACAAGCAATTGTGAACATACATTGAGCCATCCCAGTGTGTGAGGTATGATGCTGAACACTCTATGCAGGGAGTCATCTCATCTTCATAGCACTCTTGTTTTATTTTATTTTACTTTATTTTATTTTATTTTATTTGAGATGGACTCTTGCTCTGTCGCCCAAGCTGGAGTGCAGTGGCATGTTCTCAGCTCACTGCAACCTCCACCTTCCAGGTTCAACTGATTCTCCTGCCTCAGCCTCCTGAGTAACTGGGATTACAGGTGTATGTGACCACGCCCAGCTAATTTTTGTATTTTTACTAGAGATGGGGTTTTGCCATGTTGGTCAGGCTGGTTTCAAACTCCTGACCTCAAGTGATCTGCCTGCCTCAGCCTCCAGAAGTGCGGGGATTACAAGCATGAGCCACTGTGCCTGGCCAACAGCACTGTTACTAAAGAAACTGCAGAGAGGCTAAGAAATGCATAAAGGGCCTGGTGTGGTGGCTCACGCCTGTAATCCCAAGACTTCGGGAGGCCAAGGTGGGCAGATCATTTGAACCCAGGAGTTCAAGACCAGCCTGGGCAACAAGATGTAGACTCCATCTCTACAAAAAAGTTATAAAAATTAGCCAGGCGTGGTGGTGTGTGCCTATAGTCCCAGCTACTCAGGAGGTTAAGGCAGGGGGATCCCTTGAGCCTGGGAGTTTGGGGCTGCAGTGAGTTATGATTGCACCACAGCCTGGGTCTGAGAGTGACACCCACTCTCAAAGGAAAAAAAGCAACTGTGGACACACACTGAGCCCTCCCTGTGGGTGAGGCAGGATGCCAAACTCTGTGTGAGGGGAATCATCCCATCTTCACAGCATTCTTACTAAATAAGCTGCAGAGAGGTTAAGAAGCGCCCAAAGCCACAGAGCTGGTAGGAGGCAGTGGCTGGATGTGATGCAGATTTGACACTAACGTGTGGGCCTAGCTACTGCTCTATAGTGCCCGCTTAAAGGGAAAGGTCTTTCTTTCTCGATTACTTAGTTCATGCGTTAAACTGGTTGGTGTTGGTAGCAGATGGTGAGTACTGTAGTTCAGCCTTCTGGAGAAAGCTTGTCCGGCTTCAAGAGAATGTGAAGCATCTGTGCTGGTTGGGGAGGGAGGTTCCCCTCCACCCCTTCACCACTTCACATGGAGCATTTACAATGTGTGAGTTTCCCGTGCTAAAGGCGATACTTTCACGATGACAGTATCTGAAGGGCAGGTGGGCGGAGGCTATAGTTCAGGCTTGGCCCAAAGTAAGCACTCTGTAAGGGGTTTTGCGATTACCATTATATTTTGAGGTGGGTGGGACAGGGAGGATGCTCTAGGCAGAAGCAATGAGTCATCTCGATGGGAAGTGCAGGGACCCAGACCACTGTCAGGACCTTCTTTCTGGGCCCAGACCCCCTAGATGCCCTGGACCTAGTCTTCTGCTTCCTCTCCTGCATCCTTCCCCAACCTCCTCTTCCTCTCCCTTTCTTTCTTCCACCCATGTCTTCTTTATTCCCTGATGCTCCTTGCTCAGTTCTGTTGAGCCCTGGAGGCTAAAGACTGTGCTGACACTTCCCCACCACCTCCATGTGACTATGGGCCAAGAACAAGCCTTCCAAATTGCTTTGACACCCACCGAGGAGCACGTTTCAGGAATATCAGTATCAGCTGTTCACCAGCTCTGCTAAAGGGCATGGTCAGAGCACCTGGCTTTTCCTGGGTGGGAGAGGCTTCAGCAGACAACACCTCTCCCTCTTCACTGCCCCTTATCCTGATCCCCAGTCCACATGGCCTCCTTTTTATTAAAGAAGATGGGGAGAGAAGCTGAGAGAGAGGGAGGGAAATATTAGAAATATTGTCACAACCTGCTCCCTGGTTTCACAGAAGGTAATCAGGAAAGAGACAAGAAGAGAACTGGGCTCTGTGGTTATCACAGCTATTGGTGGAGATTATTTGTTCATCAGCCTGTAAAAAGTTCCCAGCTTTGGCAAAGGTAATTACCAGCCTAGGTGGCTGGCCAGGTCGGGACACGGAGGGGGAGGTAAAGCTGTCATTTCCAATTCACCAGCCTCCATTTGCTGTTTGGTCCAAAGGTTCAAATGAAAAGGTTAATTAAGAAGCAGAGGATTTTCTCATCAGGTTAAGTCATGTATACACAGCACAAAGACCGTGTCTATACATGATAACTGCTTTTTAAAAAACCCGATTCGATTCAGCTTGCATTTGTTGACACACACACCTCCTCCTCCAACACACTTACAACCTCTTGGGGTTAGGTGTGTGCTAGCCTCTTTGTTTGCTACAGGGGATACGATAGCAGGAGAGGTATGGGTGCTCGCTTGGGATATATGGCTCTCTCTACAATGGAGAGCAGCCCACAAATGTGGGGGCTCCAGTCAAACTAGCTACTTGCCTGCTGTGTGTTCCTTGGGCAAATAACTATCTTGGAGGAGGTTAGATTAGATCTGCAACTACTAATCATAATAGTCTGTGGATTGGGGGAGAGGGGATGCAACAGAACCATTTAAAACATAATCCCTACAGGCCAGGTG